TTATCTGGGAAGGGCTACAAAGGGTTGCTTACATGTACCAAGAAGGCCCAAGAACTTCGAAAGCAGCAGAGGTGTGTAAAAGGTGATTTCTAAATACATTAGGAATAGATGAAACACACTGCACTTCATTTATGGTTTTGTACTTTTGTTTTCTTTACAGGCTGAAGTGGTTATGGTGAATTACTTGGGGGTACAGGGGACCTCAGGATTTCAGAATAAATTCAAGGCTCGGTCACAGGACTCCATCTGCTATATTTAACAAGGAACCTTAGGTGGACAAGCAACAAAGCTGTTAAGATTATTTTATTATTATTAATTTATGTTTGCACAATAGCTTTGAATAAAAAGTCACTATATTAATAAATCCATAAATAGAAACTTAAAAATTCCACCAAAACTAATACAGCCCCAAAGTGTTGCTTATGCAATTTCAAATAATTTGCAATTCGAATTATTATTATTATTATTATTATTAGTATTCATTGAAGTAAAAGGCAGACCTGTTTCAGAAAATAAACAGTTCTGACCAGTCTGTGGCAGGTGTGTGTGTGTGTGTGTGTGTGTGTATATATGTGTGCAATGGCCGCGCTTGCGCATTAGACCTCCTCCCCATAGGAAAGCATTATTCAATGCTTTCCTATGGGCATTTCGGCAATGCTGGACATAACATTCTAAGAACACAGAAGTTCCAGTCACTAGAGGTGGACTTAACCCTAATTATTGCAGTTAATAAAAGATTGTGAGATTGTTTTAATGGCTTTACACTATTGCACTTTATCTCTTTGCTGAAAAGAACATGCACAAAACTTAAGTTATTTAAAAGCAAATGAAGTTGAGGGTTTCTCAATATGTGTACATGAAATGTTTTTACATTGAACTAAGATAGCGCTCCACTATTTTTTGTATTTGTTACATTGGTAACTCTACTATTTAAAACCACGAAAGAAAATATAGTGATATCACATAAAATGTGACAAGTGCTAGTCAATAAAGATAGAATATCATATCATGATATATATTGGTTTACCCTCCCGACTGATTCCTCTCTTGCATCTGTCACTAGTCTAATACTATCCTTACCTTTTTGTGTCACTTTACACCACTCCCTCTAGCATGTAAGCTCATTGAACAATTCCTGTGTGTCCAACTTGTCTGGTTACAATTACATGTTTGTTCGTCCACCCACTGTAAAGCGCTGCAAAATGTGTTGGCACTATATAAATAACTTAATAATAATAACCTTGCAACTATATTTCACAAGATCACTGTAGTCACCAGAACAAACACAGCTTATTGAATTTGTTCTGGTGAGTAGAATCATTACCTTCAGGCTTTTTGCTGAAAACACTGTCTTTTCTGAGAAAATGCATTGTTTACATTACAGCCTAGTGATAACTTCACTGGCCACTGCTCAGATAGCTGTTAGAGATCCTTCCTGGGTCATGGCTGCCTAAAATGCATCCAAACATTCAGTATCTCCTCCCGCTGCATGCAGACACTGAGCTTTCCTCATAGAGATTCAATTAATTGATTAAATTCAACTTGTGCTGGCTCTGCCCTGATCTGCCTCCTTCAGTGTCAGCCAATCCTGTGGTGAAGCACTGTGATTTGCTCAGAACAACACTTCTGATGATGTCAGACAGCTTGCTGGTCGGAGGCAGACAGGGGCAGAGCCAGCAGCTTCAGGCTTGAATACAAGTAAAATTTTGCTATATTTAGGGAGGCAAGAGACCTGTGACCCAAAAGGGAAATTGTTATTTAAACAATATGCATTCTTTATTGAAGAGTAAAGCATGCAGAAATCCATGGTTCATATTTTTTATAAAGTGAGTTTATAGGTGAATCAGGTTTTTTTATTTTTAATTTAAGTGACATTTATGTTGTAAGAAATATTAGAATGTAAATCAAATCAAATGTAAAAAATAGAATGACCTTTTAATATAAAAAGGAGAGGTTACAAATGTCATGCAAATCAGGAAAAAACAAGGTATTGTAATTTCCAGGACAAAGAGTCTTTGATCTAACTGTTAACAAAGCATACCTTAGAATATCATATTGGACCAGTTTTTATCCTGAGTTTATCTCATATCGTGTTATCAATAGAGTGTTTATAAGTTTTTCCCAACTTGTATTTAAATGGTAAATAGCCGTTTACTTCCATTGTGAATAAAGAATTCATTATTGAGCTTTTGATCCTCCCAAACTCATTACATGTCCCTAAGATAATTTAGGTAGATGGAGGGAAGATACCTAAACTCATCACATGCCCCAAGATAGGTAGATGGAGGGAAGATATGGGTAAATGGAGGGAAAAACTGCAAAGAGAAAAGCTGTATAAATGTAGGCCCAAAATGGCTAGAGACAGGGCAGTTCTGGTAGGAACTTCAATGAGTGACAACCAAGCAGGAGTCCAGGGGAGACTTCAATATATAGATCCACACTCTGTTGGTAACTATATTTGACTGTGATACTTGGTTGATTCCTGTGATAGTTGTGGGGCTATATTGGTTTTTATATCATTGTATGTTGTTTGGTTTAACCTCACTATATTTGCTGTGTATTAGATTATAGATCAGATAGTTAATGCATTTACTGCATTTACTGGATCACTTATTGTGATCCTCTCAAGAAAAGAAAGATTGAGAAAAAAAAAATTAGGATGAAAGGAGTTTGAAAGTTATAAAAGAATTTA